AGGCCGGGCCCGCCTTGGCGAGGCCCAGGACCGGTTCAGTTGTCCGTCGCCGACGTTGGCCCCAAGCAGGAATCCAACTCGGCCGATTCGTAGCACACACACACACTTGTGATATTACACTCGCGTTATTTACTCACGTGATCGATCAGCGACTTGCTCGCCTCATGTCGTCTTTTGTATTCTTTGTTGATGTAACTCGCTGACCACCCCCCCCCCCCCACCTGGACATCTATGAAAAAAGAGCTTCATAGCTCATCGGATTTCGACACCAGGATAAATACAATAGTCTGATTCCGACATACGTACGTACGTACGTACGTGCGCACACACACGCAACATTCACACAATGACATTCAGGATTCTAATACTTTCTGGTACAGAAAGGTTTTGCGACTGTCCCTGGCCAGGTGTATGAACACACAGGTGTGTGTGTGTAGATGTGTGTGTGTAGATGTGTGTGTGGTACAGAAATATTTTGCGACTGTCCCTGGCCAGGTGTATGAACACACAGGTGTATGTGTGTGTATAGGTGTGTGTGTGTATATAGGTGTGTGTGTGTAGGGGTGTGTGTGTGTAGGCGAAACGTGAACCCCCCTAATGGAACATCTTCGCCGGTTAGAAACATTTAGGCTGGCCTGCCTACGATCCATCCTGGGTTTAACCAGGCTGGATTGTGTGAGGAGCTCACAAATCCTTGAAAGATCTGGGCAGGGTCCCATCGGTAAGCTCCTCCGGCAGGCAAGGCTGCGTTGGCTGGGTCATGTAGCCAGCATGCCCAGCCACCGCATGCCGAAACAGCTTTTGTTCGGCCGGATCGAGGGGGCTAAACGGGCGCGGCACGGGCTAGATAAGAGATGGAGTGATGTGGTACAGGAGGACGTGGAGCTGAGTGGACTTGCCGATGACTGGTACCAGCGGTGTCAAGATCGGCCTCTGTGGAGGAGGCTCGTGAAGGCCGCTACTGGGCAGTTGGAGGCAGTCGCCCTCCAACAACAACGGAGGGCGGAGGAGCGACGCTCAGAACAACGAGCGGAGCGCCGGGTGGCTAAAGCAAAGCAGGTTGACACAGTAGGGGGCACAGGTGGTGCATCAGCCAGTCATCTCAGTCAGTCGACCCGTGGCATCTGGGTCTGCCCCGTGACCTGCCAGCGGGCGTTCGACACTTCACGTGGCCTCAGGGTGCACATAGCCTGGCACAAGCATCGTGGTGACGTCACCGCCACTTAGTGGCGAATGGCGGTTGTTGTTGTAGGGGTGTATGTGTGTGTGTGTAGGGGTGTATGTGTGTGTGTGTAGGGGTGTGTGTGTGTAGGTGTGTGTGTGTATATGTGTGTGTGTGTGTAGGGGTGTGTGTGTGTGTAGGGGTGTGTGTGTGTCCGGAGTCTGAGACCAGGAAAGGCAGCGGGCAGAGATGATCTCCCAAGCGAAATTCTGAGGGAGGGTGGCGTTTGTGCACAGACTGCCCTACATGACATCATAACAACGGTCTGGACCACTGGGCGGGTTCCGCAGGATTGTAAGGTGCCCTGGTGGTCTCCCTTTTTAAGAAGGGGGACTGCACAGACTGTAACAACTACAGGGGCATCTCACTCCTCAGTGTGCCGGGAAAGGTCCTGGCAAGGATTATTCAGCATCGCCTTGCCAGGCACGCTGAGGAGAGGCTTGCAGAGCCCCAATGCGGTTTCAGGAAAGGGCGGTCCTGCACAGATGCCATATTTTCTGTCTGTCTGCTACAGCAAAGGTGTAGGGAATTCCAACAAGACCTACATCGCTGCTTTATTGACATGGTCAAGGCCTATGATACCATCAGTAGGCCTGGGCTCTGGGTTGTTCTTCGTGCTTTTGGAGTACCTGACCCTCTGCTCACGATCATTAAGGACCTTCATGATGGTGAGCGGGCCCGGGTAAAACTACGTGGCCGGGAGTCAGAGCCATTCCCTGTACACCTTGGGGTGCGACAGGGATGTGCTCTGGCTCCCACATTATTTAACATATTTTGACCACGTAGTTCGTTAAGCCTTCAATAGTTGTACCGGGGGAATCTCCATATGGTACAGATATAATGGGAGGCTGATCGATGCCCGGGTGTGGTCAAGGGATGGCTCCCTATTGCTCAACCACGTTATGTATGCTGATGATTTGGTAATAGCTGCTCATTCAGAGGAGGAGTTGGAGACGCTGCTGATGAGACTGGAGCGTGCCACTAAGAGGTGGGGCCTTACCATCAGCCCCACCAAAACTAAGCACCTGCCTGGGTATTTTGTACCATCGGACACTCCACCCCCACCACTCCCAATCGGTGATGGGGCAGTTGTGGAGAGAGTGGAGAGTTTCCCATACCTGGGCAGTGTGCTTATGACTGGCTCCAGTTTAACAGCAGAGGTCTCACTCCGAATCAGTCGAGCGGCAATATCTTTTCATCGGTTGCGTAACGCTGTGTGGAAGCTACCTGGTCTGTCGCTCCGCACTAAGCTTCAGGTCTTCACGGCCACGGTCATTCCCTCCCTTCTCTACGCTTGCGAAACGTGGACCCCCCCTAATGGAACATCTTCGCCGGTTAGAAACATTTAGGCTGGCCTGCCTACGATCCATCCTGGGTTTAACCAGACTGGATTGTGTGAGGAGCTCACAAATCCTTGAAAGATCTGGGCAAGGTCCCATCGGTGAGCTCCTCCGGCGGGGAGGGCTGCGATGGCTGGGTCATGTAGCCCGCATGCCCAGCCACCGCATGCCGAAACAGCTTTTGTTCGGCCGGATTGAGGGGGCTAAGCGGGCGCGGCACGGGCTAGAGAAGAGATGGAGTGATGTGGTACAGGAGGACGTGGAGCTGAGTGGACTTGCCGATGACTGGTACCAGCGGTGTCAAGATCGGCCTCTGTGAAGGAGGCTCGCGAAGGACGCTACTGGGCAGTTGGAGGTAGTCGCCCTCCAACAACAACGGAGGGCGGAGGAGCGACGCTCAGAACAACGAGCGGAGCGCCGGGTGGCTAAAGCACAGCAGGTTGGCACAGTAGGGGGCACAGGTGGTGCATCAGCCAGTCATCTCAGTCAGTCGACCCGTGGCACCTGTTGGGTCTGCCCCGTGACCTCCTGCCAGCGGGCGTTCGACACTTCACGTGGCCTCAGGGTGCACATAGCCTGGCACAAGCATCGTGGTGATGTCACCGCCACTTAGTGGCGAATGGCGGTTTTTGTTGTGTGTGTGTGTAGGGGTGTGTGTGTGTGTAGGGGTGTGTGTGTGTGTAGTTGTGTGTGTGTGTAGGGGTTTGTGTGTGTGTGTGTGTATAGGGGTTTGTGTGTGTAGGTGTGTGTGTGTGTGTAGGGGTGTGTGTGTGTAGGAGTGTGTGTGTGTGTGTAGGGGGGTGTATGTGTGTATAGGGGTGTGTGTGTATGTAGGTGTGTGTGTGTGTAGGGGTGTGTGTGTGGATGTGTGTGTGTATATAGGGGTGTGTGTGTAGGGGTGTGTGTGTGTGTAGGTGTGTGTGTAGGTGTGTGTATATAGGGGTGTGTGTGTGTGTAGGGGTGTGTGTGTGTGTAGGTGTGTGTGTGTAGGGGTGTATGTGTGTGTGTAGGTGTGTGTGTAGGACCTTCATGATGGTGAGCGGGCCCGGGTAAAACTACGTGGCCGGGAGTCAGAGCCATTCCCTGTACACCTTGGGGTGCGACAGGGATGTCCTCTGGCTCCCACATTATTTAACATCTATTTTGACCACGTAGTTCGTGAAGCCTTCAATAGCTGTACCGGGGGAATCTCCATATGGTACAGATATAATGGGAGGCTAATCGATGCCCGGGTGCGGTCAAGGGATGGCTCCCTATTGCTCAACCACGTTATGTATGCTGATGATTTGGTAATAGCTGCTCAGTCAGAGGAGGAGTTGGAGACGCTGCTGCTGAGACTGGAGCGTGCCACTAAGAGGTGGGGCCTTACCATCAGCCCCACCAAAACTAAGCACCTGCCTGGGTATTTTGTACCATCGGACACTCCACCCCCACAACTCCCAATCGGTGATGGGGCAGTTGTGGAGAGAGTGGAGAGTTTCCCATACCTGGGCAGTGTGCTTATGACTGGCTCCAGTTTAACAGCAGAGGTCTCACTCCGAATCAGTCGAGCGGCAATATCTTTTCATCGGTTGCGTAACGCTGTGTGGAAGCTACCTGGTCTGTCGCTCCGCACTAAGCTTCAGGTCTTCTCGGCCACGGTCATTCCCTCCCTTCTCTACGCTTGCGAAACGTGGACCCCCCTAATGGAACATCTTCGCCGGTTAGAAACATTTAGGCTGGCCTGCCTACGATCCATCCTGGGTTTAACCAGACTGGATTGTGTGAGGAGCTCACAAATCCTTGAAAGATCTGGGCAGGGTCCCATCGGTGAGCTCCTCCGGCAGGCAAGGCTGCGATGGCTGGGTCATGTAGCCCGCATGCCCAGCCACCGCATGCCGAAACAGCTTTTGTTTTGGCCGGATTGATGGGGCTAAGCGGGCGCGGCACGGGCTAGAGAAGAGATGGAGTGATGTGGTACAGGAGGACGTGGAGCTGAGTGGACTTGCCGATGACTGGTACCAGCGGTGTCAAGATCGGCCTCTGTGGAGGAGGCTCGTGAAGGATGCTACTGGGCAGTTGGAGGCAGTCGCCCTCCAACAACAACGGAGGGCGGAGGAGCGACGCTCACAACAGCGAGCGGAGCGCCGGGTGGCTAAAGCACAGCAGGTTGGCACAGTAGGGGGCACATGTGGTGCATCAGCCAGTCATCTCAGTCAGTCGACCCGTGGCACCTGGGTCTGCCCCGTGACCTCCTGCCAGCGGGCGTTCGACACTTCACGTGGCCTCAGGGTGCACATAGCCTGGCACAAGCGTCGTGGTGACGTCACCGCCACTTAGTGGCGAATGGCGGTTGTTGTTGTTGTTGTGTGTGTAGGTGTGTGTGTGTAGGTGTGTGTGTGTAGGTGTGTGTAGGGGTGTGTATGTGTATGTGTGTGTGTATGTGTGTGTGTAGGTGGGTGTGTGTATGTGTGTATGTGTATGGGTGTGTGTATGGGTGTGTGTGTATGGGTGTGTGTGTATGGGTGTGTGTGTGTGTGTGTGAGTCTACGCGCGGAGCCACGGGTGTGTGAGCGCCTGTGCGGCCGTGGCCCTGCGTGCGGGGTCCGGGTGCAGCATGGGCAGCAGGAAGGAAGCGAAGGCGCTGGCGTCGTCACGTGCCCACGAGTACTTGTCCTGCAGCACCGCCTGCAGGCCCCACGGCCGCAGGCCCGAGATGTGCAGCAGGTTGCCTGCAGCGTCACACAGCGTCACACAGCGTCACACAGCGTCACACACCGTCACACAGCGTGACACAGTGTCACACACCGTCACACACCGTCACACAGCGTCACTCAGCGTCACACACCGTCACACAGCGTCACACAGCGTGACACAGTGTCACACAGCGCACCGTCGTGAACCGCACCATCGCGAGTGGACCATCACGCAGCTTCATTAGCACGGCTGGCTACGTACGGTGCGAAAGAAGTTCAACGTACACACACCAGCACGCTACACCACACCACACACCACACACCACACCACCACACACCACACCGCACCACACACCGCACCACACCACACCAAACCACCACACCACCCACACCACCAACCACACACCACACCACACCACCACACCACACACCACACACCACCCACCACACCACCCACACCACACACACACCACACACCACACCACACACCACACCACACACACCACTCACCACACCACACACCACCCACACCACACACACCACACCACACCACACACCACACCACCACACACACCACACCACACACCACACCACCACACACACCACACCACACCGCGTCACAGCAGCGAGCGGCGCACCTCTCTGGTTGAAGAAGTCACGTGAGTACCTCCCGGACAGCGCCAGGCGACGCGGGATGCGTCCCAGCAGCTCCACCATGAGGGCGATGTGGTCTGGGGGAGGGGCGAGGAGGTGGGGGGGGGGAGGTCCCTCATCAACAGCCGCGACTCACAGCATCACCTCATCGGGGAACTGTGAGAGGTTGAAGTGGATGAAGTGGATGAGTGAGTGAGTGGTAGAGTGAGTGAGTGAGTGGTTGAAGTGGGTGAGTGAGTGGTTGAGTGGTTGAGTGGTTGAAGTGGGTGAGTGAGTGGTTGATTGAGTGAGTGGTTGAGTGAGTGAGTGGTAGAGTGGTTGAAGTGGGTGAGTGAGTGGTTGAGTGGTTGAAGTGGGTGAGTGAGTGGTTGACTGAGTGAGTGGTTGAGTGAGTGAGTGGTAGAGTGGTTGAAGTGGATGAGTGAGTGAGTGGTTGAGTGAGTGAGTGGTTGAAGTGGATGAGTGAGTGAGTGGTAGAGTGAGTGAGTGGTTGAGTGAGTGAGTGGTTGAAGTGGATGAGTGAGTGAGTGGTAGAGTGAGTGAGTGGTTGAGTGAGTGGTTGAAGTGGATGAGTGAGTGGTTGCAGTGGGTGGCTGAGTGAGTGAGTGGTTGAGTGAGTGTGTGAGTAGTTGAGTGAGTGAGTAGTTGAGTGAGTGAGTAGTTGAGTGAGTGAGTAGTTGAGTGAGTGGTTGAGTGAGTGGTTGAGTGAGTGAGTGGTTGAGTGAGTGAGTACTTGAGTGAGTAGTTGAGTGAGTGAGTGCTTGAGTGAGTGAGTGAGTGATTGAGTGAGTGAGTGGTTGAGTGAGTGGTTGAGTGAATGAGTAGTTGAGTGAGTGAGTGGTTGAGTGAGTGGTAGAGTGAGTGAGTGGTTGAAGTGGGTGAGTGGTTGAGTGGTTGAGTGGTTGAAGTGGGTGAGTGAGTGGTTGAAGTGGGTGAGTGAGTGGTTGACTGAGTGAGTGGTTGAGTGAGTGAGTGAGTGGTAGAGTGGTTGAAGTGGATGAGTGAGTGAGTGAGTGGTTGAGTGAGTGAGTGGTTGAAGTGGATGAGTGAGTGAGTGGTAGAGTGAGTGAGTGGTTGAGTGAGTGAGTGGTTGAAGTGGATGAGTGAGTGAGTGAGTGGTAGAGTGAGTGAGTGAGTGGTTGAGTGAGTGGTTGAAGTGGATGAGTGAGTGGTTGAAGTGGGTGGCTGAGTGAGTGAGTGGTTGAGTGAGTGAGTAGTTGAGTGAGTGAGTAGTTTAGTGAGTGAGTAGTTGAGTGAGTGAGTAGTTGAGTCAGTGAGTGGTTGAGTGAGTGGTTGAGTGAGTGAGTGGTTGAGTGAGTGAGTACTTGAGTGAGTAGTTGAGTGAGTGAGTGCTTGAGTGAGTGAGTGAGTGGTTGAGTGAGTGAGTGAGTGGTTGAGTGAGTGGTTGAGTGAATGAGTAGTTGAGTGAGTGAGTAGTTGAGTGAGTGAGTAGTTGAGTGAGTGAGTAGTTGAGTGAGTGGTTGAGTGAGTGAGTGGTTGAGTGAGTGAGTACTTGAGTGAGTAGTTGAGTGAGTGAGTGCTTGAGTGAGTGAGTGAGTGGTTGAGTGGTTGAGTGAGTGAGTGGTTGAGTGAGTGAGTGGTTGAGTGAGTGAGTGAGTAGTTGAGTGAGTGAGTGGTTGAGTGAGTGGTTGAGTGAGTGAGTAGTTGAGTGAGTGAGTGGTTGAGTGAGAGAGTAGTTGAGTGAGTGAGTAGTTGAGTGAATGAGTGGTTGAGTGAGTGAGTGATCACCTTCGTCACGTGAGTAGTTCTCCCCAGAGTGTGGATCAAACAGATAGTCGCCCGTGGCCAGCTCAAACGCCTGCAGCAGAACAATAACATTAACCACAACATTAACCACAACCACCACAACATTAACCACAACATTAACCACAACATTAACCACAACATTAACCACAACCACCACAACATTAACCACAACCACCACAACATTAAACACAACCACCACAACATTAACCACAACCACCACAACATTAACCACAACCACCATAACATTAACCACAACCACCACAACATTAACCACAACCACCACAACATTAACCACAACCACCACAACATTAACCACAACCACCACAACATTAACCACAACCACCACAACATTGCCCACAACCACCACAACATTAACCACCACAACATTAACCACAACCACCACAACATTAACCACAACCACCACAACATTAACCACAATCATTACAACATTAACCACAACCACCACAACATTTACCACAACCACAACATTAACCAGAACCACCACAACATTAACCAGAACCACCACAACATTAACCACAACCACCACAACATTAACCACAACCACCACAACATTAACCACAACCACCACAACATTAACCACAACCATCACAACATTAACCACAACCACCACAACATTAACCACAACCATTACAACAATGAACCACGATAACAACCACAATAACAACCACATGAGATGATGATGCTGCTGATGGTGATGATGGTGATGTGGCAAATAATGATGATGGTAGTGATGATAACGGTGATGATGGTAATATTGACGATGGTTTTGATGAAGGTGATGGCAATGATGATGGTGATGATGACGGTGGTGGTGTTGCTGGTCATGTTGACGGTGGTTGCGGTGGTAGTTGTGGTGACTGTGGCGATGCTGGTGGGTTGCGGTGGTGGTGTTGACGATGGTTGTGGTGGTGTTTGTGGCGCTGCTGGTAGTGGTAGTAGTGTTGCTGGTGGTGGTAGTAGTGTTGCTGGTGGTGCTGGTGTGGACGCTGGTTGTGGTGGTGGTAGTGGTGTTGCTGGTGGTGGTAGTAGTGTTGCTGGTGGTGCTGGTGTGGACGCTGGTTGTGGTGGTGGTAGTGGTGTTGCTGGTAGTGGTAGTAGTGTTGCTGGTGTGGACGCTGGTTGTGGTGGTGGTGGTAGTGATGTTGCTGGTGGTGGTAGTAGTGTTGCTGGTGTGGACGCTGGTTGTGGTGGTGGTGGTAGTGATGTTGCTGGTGGTGGTAGTAGTGTTGCTGGTGGTGCTGGTGTGGACGGTGGTTGCGGTGGTGGTGGTGGTGGTAGTAGTGTTGCAGGCGGTGCTGGTGTGGATGGTGGTTGTGGTGTTGCTGGTGGTAGTAGTGTTGCTGGTGGTGCGGGTGTGGACGGTGGTTGTGGTGTCGGTGGTGATTGTGGTGCTGATTGTGGTGTCGGTGGTGATTGTGGTGCTGATTTTGGTGGCGGTGGTGATTGTGGTGCTGATTGTGGTGTCGGTGGTGATTGTGGTGCTGATTGTGGTGTCGGTGGTGATTGTGGTGCTGATTGTGGTGTCGGTGGTGATTGTGGTGCTGATTGTGGTGTCGGTGGTGATTGTGGTGCTGATTGTGGTGTCGGTGGTGATTGTGGTGCTGATTGTGGTGTCGGCGGCGACTGCGGTGGCGCTGGCGGTGAATAACCATGCAAGCCGTGCTCCAGATGTCGGCGGCCGTGCCGTACAGGGCGCCGATGACCACCTCGAAGGCGCGGTACTGCCGTGTCTGGATGTCCTCCGTGAAGTGTTCAAACTGCACAAAGACAGAGGTCACTGTGGCGTGGAGCTCACACGCTGCAGGGGCAAGTGCTGAGAGCGAGCAGCACCTGTCATGGCCGTCACGGCACGCGAGGGGGCGGGCGGGTGGGCCAGCGCCACGCCCGGCCGCCTTTGTCTCCCCCAGTGGCGGTGTTTAAACACCGCACCAGCTACTCATTTGAGGCCGAGTCGAACTAGGGGAGGCCCAGGACCGGTTCAGATATTGGCTATCACTGGGTGTTGGCCGCGAGCGGGAATCAAACCCGGGTCGCCGGGTTCGTAGCGTAGTTCACGAGTGGGGTGGGTGGTCAGCGCCACGCCCGGCCGCCTTTGTCTCCCCCAGCGACGATGCTTTTACGCACGTAGACTCCAGCGGCTTAAGAGACGCCATCACAATGATCTTCACCCAGCAGCGGATAGGCCGTGATAGGCCACGACACTTACGATGATTTTGGACGGAATTGGCAGACGCGAACTTCTGACGACACGGAGAGGCAGGAAGAGTAACCCCACGCATGAGAGCAAACAAAGACAAAGATCCCCCGGATAGCCTTGACAGACTGTTGGGGCAAGTGCCGTTAGCGGGCAGCACCTGTGAAGGAGTGGGCAGCCAGAAACCACGCACGGCCGCCTTTGTCTCCCCGGTGGCGATGTTTTTGCGCACCGCACCCAGGTGCTCATTTGGGGCTGAGTCGACCTAGGGGGAGGTATACACACGGCGGAACTTGCCCCGACAGCGGCGGGTCTCAACCTGCACTGCTGCCTTGCACCCCACCCCCCATCCCCCTTGGGTTCTCAAGCGTTTAAAACCATGGACAATGTTCCACAACTACGTAGGGGCTTGATGAAACAAAGTAAGTTGTTACTGACGCTACCCGCGACTAGTTAGCGTTGTTGACCATTCACCTTCTAGACAAATCTGGCCACGTGGTGCCCCAGGTCAAGAGCCCCTGGTTTGTATACAAGGAGTGTGTACGTGAACAACTGGTTTATAGGCGAGACACGCTGCCCGAGGCCATGCAGGGAGAAGCGTGCGGGGTGGTGCAGGGTGGTGCAGGGTGGTGCAGGGTGGTGCAGGGTGGTGCGTGGGGGGTGGTGTGGGTGGTGCAGGGTGGTGTGTGCAGGGTGGTGCAGGGTGGTGTGGGTGGTGCAGGGTGGTGCAGGGTGGTGCGTGGGGGGTGGTGCAGGGTGGTGCAGGGTGGTGCGGGGTGGTGCAGGGTGGTGCAGGGTGGTGTGTGCAGGGTGGTGCAGGGTGGTGCAGGGTGGTGCAGGGTGGTGCAGGGTGGTGCAGGGTGGTGCGGGGTGGTGCGGGGTGGTGCAGGGTGGTGCAGGGTGGTGCAGGGTGGTGCAGGGTGGTGCAGGGTGGTGCAGGGTGGTGCGGGGTGGTGCAGGGTGGTGCAGGGTGGTGCAGGGTGGTGCAGGGTGGTGCAGGGTGGTGCAGGGTGGTGTGTGCAGGGTGGTGCAGGGTGGTGCAGGGTGGTGCAGGGTGATGCAGGGTGGTGCAGGGTGGTGCAGGGTGGTGCAGGGTGGTGCAGGGTGGTGCAGGGTGGTGCAGGGTGGTGTGTGCAGGGTGGTGCGTGGGGGGTGGTGCAGGGTGGTGCAGGGTGGTGCAGGGTGGTGTGTGCAGGGTGGTGCGTGGGGGGTGGTGCAGGGTGGTGCAGGGTGGTGCAGGGTGGTGCAGGGTGGTGCAGGGTGGGTGGTGTGGGTGGTGCGTGCCCCTCACCGTCCAGCACGCGTTGCCCAGGTCGGCGATTTTGACGCGGACGTGGCGAGCGTGGGCCGCGTCGAGCAGGTTCAGGACCGGGCGAGCTGCAGCAGGGAAGACGCCCCGCGTGGAGACGCAGCAGCAGCAGCAGGGAAGACGCCCCGCACGGAGACGCAGCAGCAGGAACACGGGGGGGGGGGGGAGGGGGGAGACACGGGTGTGATTGGGACGACGGTGGTGGCGGTGGTGATGGTGGTGATGATGGCGACGGTGCTGCTGGTGATGATTCACATTCACATAGACTAACACTGCCCATAGACTAACATTGCCCATAGACTAACATTGCCCATAGACTAACATTGCCCATAGACTAACATTGCCCATAGACTCACATTGTACATACAATAACATTGCCCATAGACTAACATTGCCCATAGACTAACACTGCCAATACACTAACATTGCCCATAGTCTAACATTACCTATAGACTAACATTGCCCATAGACTAACATTGCCCATAGACTCACATTACCTATAGACTAACATTACCCATAGACTAACATTGCCCATAGACTCACATTGTACATAGGCTAACACTGCCAATACACTAACATTGCCCACTGACTCACATTACCTATAGACTAACATTACCCATAGACTAACATTGCCCATAGACTAACATTGCCCATAGTCTAACATTGCCCATAGACTAACATTGCCCACAAGACTAACAAAGTTGGGTGGACAGCACAATGCCCGTCCGCCTTTGTCTCCCCAGTGCTGATACCACAGCAGGCACAGCGTCAGTTTCATCATTCACAGCGTCAGTTTCATCATTCACAGCGTCAGTTTCATCATTCACAGCGTCAGTTTCATCATTCACAGCGTCAGTTTCATCATTCACAGCGTCAGTTTCATCATTCACAGCGTCAGTTTCATCATTCACAGCGTCAGTTTCATCATTCACAGCGTCAGTTTCATCATTCACAGCGTCAGTTTCATCATTCACAGGGTCAGTTTCATCATTCACAGCGTCAGTTTCAACATTCACAGCGTCAGTTTCATTATTCACAGCGTCAGTTTCATCATTCACAGCGTCAGTTTCAACATTCACAGGGTCAGTTTCATCATTCACAGCGTCAGTTTCATCATTCACAGCGTCAGTTTCATCATTCACAGCGTCAGTTTCAACATTCACAGGGTCAGTTTCATCATTCACAGCGTCAGTTTCATCATCCACAGCGTCAGTTTCATCATTCACAGCGTCAGTTTCAACATTCACAGCGTCAGTTTCAACATTCACAGCGTCAGTTTCATCATTCACAACATCAGTTTCAACATTCACAGCATCAGTTTCATCATTCACAGCGTCAATTTCATCATTCACAGGGTCAGTTTCATCATTCACAGCGTCAGTTTCATCATTCACAGCGTCAGTTTCATCATTCACAGAGTCAGTTTCATCATTCATAGCGTCAGTTTCATCATTCACAGCGTCAGTTTCAACATTCACAGCATCAGTTTCATCATTCACAGCGTCAGTTTCATCATTCACAGCGTCAGTTTCATCATTCATAGCAACAGTTTCAACATTCACAACGTCAGTTTCATCATTCACAGGGTCAGTTTCATCATTCACAGCGTCAGTTTCATCATTCAAAGCATCAGTTTCAACATTCACAGGGTCAGTTTCATCATTCACAGCGTCAGTTTCATCATTCACAGCGTCAGTTTCATCATTCACAGCGTCAGTTTCATCATTCACAACATCAGTTTCAACATTCACAGCATCAGTTTCATGATTCACAGCGTTAGTTTCATCATTCACAGCGTCAATTTCATCATTCACAGGGTCAGTTTCATCATTCATAGCGTCAGTTTCATCATTCACAGCGTCAGTTTCAACATTCACAGCATCAGTTTCATCATTCACAGCGTCAGTTTCATCATTCACAGCGTCAATTTCATCATTCACAGGGTCAGTTTCAACATTCACAGCGTCAGTATCAACATTCACAGCGTCAGTTTCAACATTCACAGCGTCAGTTTCATCATTCACAGCATCAGTTTCAAGATTCACAGCGTCAGTTTCATCATTCACAACATCAGTTTCATCATTCACAGCGTCAGTTTCAACATTCACAGCGTCAGTTTCATCATTCACAGCGTCAGTTTCATCATTCACAGGGTCAGTTTCATCATTCACAGCTTCAGTTTCATCATTCACTGCATCAGTTTTAACATTCACAGCGTCAATTGCATCATTCACAGGGTCAGTTTCATCATTCACAGCGTCAGTTTCATCATTCACAGCGTCAGTTTCATCATTCACAGCATCAGTTTCATCATTCACAGCATCAGTTTCATCATTCACAGCGTCAATTTCATCATTCACAGCGTCAGTTTCATCATTCACAGCATTAGTTTCATCATTCACAGCATCAGTTTCATCATTCACAGCGTCAGTTTCATCATTCACAGCGTCAATTTCATCATTCACAGCGTCAGTTTCATCATTCACAGCGTCAGTTTAATCATTCACAACATCAGTTTCAACATTCACAGCATCAGTGTCATCATTCACAGCGTCAGTTTCATCATTCACAGCGTCAGTTTCAACATTCACAGCGTCAGTGTCATCATTCACAGCGTCAGTTTCATCATTCACAGCGTCAATTTCATCATTCACAGGGTCAGTTTCAACATTCACAGCGTCAGTATCAACATTCACAGCGTCAGTTTCATCATTCACAACATCAGTTTCATCATTCACAGCGTCAGTTTCAACATTCACAACGTCAGTTTCATCATTCACAGCGTCAGTTTCAACATTCACAGCGTCAGTTTCATCATTCACAGCGTCAGTTTCAACATTCACAGCGTCAGTTTCAACATTCACAACGTCAGTTTCATCATTCACAGCGTCAGTTTCAACATTCACAGCGTCAGTTCCATCATTCACATCAGTTTCATCATTCACAGCGTCAGTTTCAACATTCACAGCATCAGTTTCATCATTCACAGCATCAGTTTCAACATTCACAGCGTCAGTTTCATCATTCACAGCATCAGTTTCATCATTCACAGGGTCAGTTTCATCATTCACAGGGTCAGTTTCAACATTCACAGCGTCAGTTTCAACATTCACAGCATCAATTTCAACATTCACAGCGTCAGTTTCAACATTCACAGCGTCAGTTTCAACATTCACTGCCGCTCTGTTATTTGGTGGAAAGTCGGAATCAAACTTGCGTTGGCGGGTTCGTAGTGCCGTGAGCAAACCGCTGCACCACCGCTCCTCCATACCACCACCATCAACACCAACACCATCACCGCTTTCACCATCACCGCCTTCACCACCACCACTGCCACCATCACCGCCTTTACCATCATCACCACCGTCACTGCCACCATCACCACCACCATCATCACCACCACCATCACCGCCTTCACCATCACTGCCTTCACCACCACTGCCTTCACCACCACCACCGCCACCATCACCGCCACCATCACCGTCTTCACCATCACCACTGCCACCATCACCACCATCATCACCGCCTTCACCACCACCACTGCCACCATCACCGCTTTCACCATCACCGCCTTCACCACCACCACTGCCACCATCACCGCCTTCACTGCCACCACTGCCACCATCACCGCCTTCACCACCACCACTGCCACCATCACCGCCTTCACCACCGCCGCCCACTCACCTCCGATGGAGGGGTCACCCCCGGCGACCCCAACTCGGCTGCCCACAAACTGCGAGGCGGCCTCGTTCCCACGGAGCGGACTACGCGGCGACGGCGGTGGCAAGCCGCCCGGAGAGAGCGGAGAGCCGGAGCGGAGTAGGACACCACCGGCACCCGGATCCAAACCCTGGCCTGCAGGCATGCAGTCAAACACACACACGTGTACACACACACACACACGTGTACACACACACACGTGTACACACACACGTGTGCGCACAGGCACACGTGTGTGCGCACACACACACGTGCGCACATAACAACAACAACCGCCATTCGCCACTAAGTGGCGGTGATGCTTGTGCCAGGCCATGTGCATCTTGAGGCCACATGTCGAATGCCCGCTGGCAGGAGGTCACGGGGCAGACCCAAGTGCCACGGGTCGACTGACTGAGATGACTGGCTGATGCACCACCTGTGCCCCCTACTGTGCCAACCTGCTGTGCTTTAGCCACCCGGCGCTCCGCTCGTTGTTGTGAGCGTCGCTCCTCCGCCCTCCGTTGTTGTTGGAGGGCGACTGCCTCCAACTGCCCAGTAGCGTCCTTCACGAGCCTCCTCCACAGAGGCCGATCTTGACACCGCTGGTACCAGTCATCAGCAAGTCCACTCAGCTCCACGTCCTCCTGTACCACATCACTCCATCTCTTCTCTAGCCTGTGCCGCGCCCGTTTAGCCCCCTCGATCCGGCCGAACAAAAACTGTTTCGGCATGCGGTGGCTGGGCATGCGGGCTACATGACCCAGCCAACGCAACCTTGCCTGCCGGAGAAGCTCACCGATAGGACCCTGCCCAGATCTTTCAAGAATTTGTGAGCTCCTCACACAATCCAGTCTGGTTAAACCCAGGATGGATCGTAGGCAGGCTAGCCTAAATGTTTCCAACCGGCGAAGATGTTCCACTAGGGGGGTCCACGTTTCGCAAGCGTAGAGAAGGGTGGGAATGACCGTGGCCGAGAAGACCTGAAGCTTAGTGGGGAGCGACAGACCAGGTAGCTTCCACACAGCGTTACGCAACCGATGAAAAGATATTGCCGCTCGACTGATTCGGAGTGAGACCTCTGCTGTTAAACTGGAGCCGGTCATAAGCACACTGCCCAGGTATGGGAAACTCTCCACTCTCTCCACAACTGCCCCATCACCGATTGGGAGTTGTGGGGGTGGAGTGTCCGATGGTACAAAATACCCAGGCAGGTACTTAGTTTTGGTGGGGCTGATGGTAAGGCCCCATCTCTTAGTGGCACTCTCCAGTCTCAGCAGCAACGTCTTCAACTCCTCCTCTGAATGAGCAGCTATTACCAAATCATCGGCATACATAACGTGGTTGAGCAATAGGGAGCCATCCCTTGACTGCACCCGGGCATCGATCAGCCTCCCATTATATCTGTACCATATGGAGATTCCCCCGGTACAGCTATTGAAGGCTTCACAAACTACGTGGTCAAAATAGATGTTAAATAATGTAGGAGCCAGAGGACATCCCTGTCGCACCCCAAGGTGTACAGGTAATGGCTCTGACTCCCGGCCACGTAGTTTTACCCGGGCCCGCTCACCATCATGAAGGTCCTTAATGATCGTGAGCAGAGGGTCAGGTACTCCAAAAGCACGAAGAAGAACCCAGAGCCCAGGCCTACTGATGGTATCATAGGCCTTGACCAGGTCAATAAAGCAGAGATGCAGGTCTTGCTGGAATTCCCTACACCTCTGCTGTAGCAGACAGACAGAAAATATGGCATCTGTGCAGGACCGCCCTAAACTACGAATGTACACACACACACACGTGTACACACACACACACAAAAGTGTACACACACACACGTGTACACACACAGACACATGTACACACACATGTACACACACAACACGTGTACACACAGACACGTGTACACACACACACGTGTACACAGACACACACACACGTGTACACACACACACAGACACACACACAGACACACACACAGACACACACACACAGACACACACACACACAGACACGTACACACAGACAGGTACACACACACACGTACACACACACATACACACACACATACACACACGTGTACACACACACACACGTGTACACACACACGTGTACACACACACACGTGTACACAAACAAAGATCCCCCATATAGCCTTAACAGACTGTAGGGGCAAGTGCTGTTAGCGAGCACCTATGAAGGCCGGAACAGTACACGAGGGGGTGGGTGGCCAGCACCACGCCCGACCGCCTTTGTCTCCCTAGTGGCAATGTTTTCATCCACCGCACCATATACTCATTTGAGGCTGAGTTGACCTAGTGGAGGCCCAGGACCGGTTCAGATAATCGTCACTGGTGTTGGCCGTGAGCGGGAATCAAACCCGGGTAGCCAGGTTCATAGCGCAGCGCGTTAACCGCTACACTACCGCTCCCCACACACAGACACACACACACACGTGTACACACACACACACAGACACACACACACAGACACACACACACAGACACACACACGTGTACACACAGACACACACACAGACACACACGTGTACACACACACACACAGACACACACATGTGTACACACACACAGACACACACATGTGTACACACACACAGACACACAGACACACACACACACACACGTGTACACACACACACAGCCACACACACGTGTACACACACACACACGTGTACACACACACGTGTACACACACACGTGTACACACACACGTGTACACACACACGTGTACACACACGTGTACACACACACGTGTACACACACACACAGACACACAGACACACACACGTGTACACACACACACAGACACACACACGCGCACCAGCCACGTACCGGATCCGAACCCGGAGTCGCAGGCCGAGCAGGTGGTGCCCGGGACGTCGCATTCCGGGTTCAGCTCCAGAGCGGGCACGGCACACGGAGAGCATCCTCCTGCACCACAAAGGCAAAGATCCCCCGTGTAGCACTCAACAGCCTTGTGGGACAAGTGCCGTTAGCGAGGTGGGTGGCCAGCGTCACGCCCGGCCGCCTTTGTCTCCCTCGTGGCAATGTTCACACGCTCGCCAGGTCCTCATTTGAGGCTGAATTGACCGAGAGGAGGCCTAGGACCCGTTTAGATAATCGTCATTGGTGGTGGCCGTGAGCGGGAATCGAACTGGGGTCGCCAGGTTCGTAACTAGATGGGCTAATTAATGCTAATTACTGCTGCACTATATATGCATATATATACATCTTCTTTGGTTCTTTCGGTAAAGTCACGTAGAATGAGAATAAAATAATAAATTGATAAAATAAAATAACACAATAATATTCTCACGACGTTTCGGCCACAACACAAGCGGCCTTCATCAGGTGAAGGGGGCGAGACTGTCTGGTAGGACAGCGCTGGAGTGAGAGAGCCACGTTCAGATCACGGCTTTTAAGCTGTGTGAGAGGAACAAAGAGCCTTGACGAAGGAATTAGCATAAAATTTAGCATTGAAATGGCTGAATGATTAGCTTGTGACTGGTCACAGAAATAGCTACGTTAAAAATTAAAGCATACACATCCGCAGAGGCACCCATTGTTAAAAGGAATTAGCATAGAATTTAGCATTGAAATAGCTAAGTTAAGGCATACACATCCGCAGAGGCACCCCTTGACAATGGGATTAGCATAGAATTTAGCATTGAAATGGCTGAGTGATTCGCTTGTAACTGCTACAGAAATAGTTACGTTGAAGTCAGAGCATACACATTCACCGAGGCACTTAGTACAAATCAAACAGGAGAATTTAGCATTGAAATAACTAGGCGAATTTAGCATTGAAATAACTGGGTGATTTGCTAGTGACTGGTCACAGAAATGACTACACATCTGAGCTATTCACAGTACTATATAGTGAACCAATAAAAACTAAAATATAAATTACCTTCATGTTATCAATAAACTCTATATTCTCCAATCAGCTAAGCTACCAACCATAAGTCGTTATATATCACAATGCTATATGGCGAAAAAATGGGTGGATTCTTACCCTCAAATTTCCGTACCACGGATAGCTACGGGCCCCGTTCAGACGGACGAGTTCGTCCATGGTCGGAACAGAGGAGGGGGAGAAAGACAGCTGCGAAGCCCTAGTATACTCCATGTTGTAAACCATACCATTAACCGTGGTGTGAGAGGTATTAAGAGGCAATGCTGGCGAAAGAGCTGCGGTCTGAAGGTCATCGTAAAATTATAATTAATTAAGAACAGAAATGATTTAACACATCTTTCCAGTGGTTACTAAGCCTGAATCCATCTTCTCGGTTGAAATTGTCTCTGTGCTTGTATATGTGAATGGCCTCATGAACGAATCTCTCATGGTAGCCAGTTGGTTTGCAAAGAACCTCCGTCTTGGAGAAGTCAATGTCATGTGAGCCCACTGAATTGTAACAGTGATGATTACGGTGACGATGATCAACTGTGACGATGATTACGGTGACAATGATTACGGTGACGATGGTGACGATGATCACGGTGACGGTGATGATGGTGATGATGATCACGGTGACGATGACGACGATAACGATGATCACGGTGATGATGGTGACGACGGTGACGATGGTGACGATGACGACAGTGACGATGATCACGGTGACAATGATCACGGTGACTGTGGTGACGACGGTGACGATGATCACGGTGTTGGTGGTGACGATGATCACGGTGACGATGACGACAGTGACGATGATCACGGTGACGATGATCACGGTGACGATGGTGACGACGGTGACGATGATCACGGTGACGATGACAAAGATGACGATGGTGACGATGACGACAGTGACGATGATCACGGTGATGATGCTCACGGTGACTATGGTGACTATGGTGACGATGATCACGGTGACGATGACGAAGATGACGATGGTGACGATGACGACAGTGACGATGATCACGGTGATGATGATCACGGTGACTACGGTGACTATGGTGATTATGGTGATGATGATCACGGTGACGGTGGTGACGGTGATGATGATCACGGTGACGATGATGACGATGATCACGGTGACGATGATCACGGTGACGATGACGACGATGACGATGATCACGGTGACGGTGACGACGGTGATGATGATCACGGTGACGATTACGACGATGACGATGATCACGGTGACGATGACGACGATGACGATGATCATGGTGATGGTGACGACGGTGATGATGATCACGGTGACGATGACGACGATGACGATGATCACGGTGATGGTTACGACGGTGACGATGACGACAGTGACGATGATCACGGTGACAATGATCACGGTGACGATGGTGACGACGGTGACGATGATCACGGTGACGGTGGTGATGATGATCACGGTGATGATGACGACGGTGACGATGATCACGGTGACGATGACGATGATGACGATGGTGACGATGACGACAGTGACGATGATCACGGTGACGATGGTGACGATGATCACGGTGACGATGACGACGATGACGATGGTGACGATGACGACAGTGACGATGATCACGGTGACGATGATCACGGTGACGATGGTGATGACGGTGACAATGATCACGGTGACGGTGGTGACGATGATCACGGTGACGATGATCACGATGATGATGATCATGGTGACGGTGACGACGGTGATGATGACGACAGTGACGATGATCACGGTGACGATGATCACGGTGACCATGGTGACGACGGTGACGATGATCATGGTGACGGTGGTGATGATGATCACGGTGACGGTGATCACGGTGACGATGACGACGGTGACGATGATCACGGTGACGATGACGACGATGACGATGATCACGGTGATGGTGACGACGGTGATGATGATCACGGTGACGATGACGACGATGACGATGATCACGGTGACAATGACGACGATGACGATGATCACGGTGACGGTGACGACGGTGATGATGATCACGGTGACGATGACGACGATGACGATGATCACGGTGATGGTGACGACGGTGACGATGACGACAGTGACGATGATCATGGTGACGATGATCATGGTGACGATGATCACGGTGACGATGATCACGGTGACGATGGTGACGACGGTGACGATGATCACGGTGACGGTGGTGATGATGATCACGGTGACGATGACGACGGTGACGATGATCACGGTGACGATGACGATGATGACGATGGTGATGATGACGACAGTGACGATGATCAAGGTGACGATGATCACGGTGACGATGGTGACGATGATCACGGTGACGATGACGACAATGACGATGGTGACGACGACAGTGACGATGATCACGGTGACGATGATCACGGTGACGATGGTGATGACGGTGACGATGATCACGGTGACGGTGGTGACGATGATCACGGTGACGATGATCACGGTGACGATGATGACGATGACAATGACCATGGTGACGGTGACGACGGTGATGATGACGACAGTGACGATGATCACGGTGACGATGATCACGGTGACCATGGTGACGACGGTGACGATGATCACGGTGACGGTGGTGACGATGATCACGGTGACGGTGATCACGGTGACGATGATCACGGTGACGATGATGACGATGACAATGACCATGGTGACGGTGACGACGGTGATGATGATGACAGTGACGATGATCACGGTGACGATGATCACGGTGACCATGGTGACGACGGTGACGATGATCACGGTGACGGTGGTGACGATGATCACGGTGACGGTGATCACGGTGACGATGATCACGGTGACGGTGGTGACGACGGTGACGATGATCACGGTGACGATGATCACGGTGACGATGATCACGGTGACGATGGTGACGACGGTGACGATGATCACGGTGACGGTGGTGACGATGATCACGGTGATGATGACGATGGTGACGATGATCACGGTGATGATGACGACGATGACGATGATCATGGTCATGGTGACGACGGTGACGTTGGTGACGATGACGACAGTGACGATGATCACGGTGACGATGATCACGGTAACGATGACGACTTCACCCCCACCCCCCCCCCCAGCGGTGGCTCACCGGGCTCGCTGGAGGAGAACAGCTGATCCAGGTCGGCGCTGTCGCCCAGGTGCGGCATGGAGAGGCTGCGGGGGGGACCCCAGGGCAGGGGGGCGCCCCCTCCCCTCGTCCCCCCTCCACGCCCCGCCAGCCCCCCGTGCCCCCCCACGCCGAGGGAGCAGGCGGAGGACATCAGTGGGCGATCTGTGCACACGCACAAAGACAAAGACCCCCCGTGTAGCTTGAACAGACTGTAGGGGCAAGTGCTGTTCGCGAGCAGCACCTGTGAAGGCCGGCACGGCACACGAGGGGGTGGGTGGGCCAGCACCACGCCCGGCCGCCTTTGTCTCCCCAGTGGCGATGTTGTTACACACCGCAGCAGGTACTCACTTGAGGCCGAGTCGACCTAGGGGAGGCCCAGTACCGGTTCAAGATAATCGCCACCGGTGTTGGTCGTGAGCGGGAATCGAACCCGGGTGGCCGGATTCGTAGCGCAGCGCTAACCGCTGCACCACCGCTCCCCACAACAGACTGTCAGTAGCGAGCAGTGAAGGCCACCGGCACTGTGGCACACGAGGAGGTGGGGTCGCCAGCACCACACGCGCACCCGGCCGCCTTTGTCTCCCCAACGGCGATGTTTACTACACACCGCCCCAGGCCGGGTCGACACACGCAGGCAACAACAACAACAACCGCCATTCGCCACTAAGTGGCGGTGACGTCACCACGACGCTCGTGCCAGGCTATGTGCACCTTGAGGCCACGTGAAGTGTCGAACGCCCGCTGGCAGGAGGTCACGGGGCAGACCCAGGTGCCACGGGTCGACTGACTGAGATGACTGGCTGATGCACCACCTGTGCCCCTACTGTGCCAACCTGCTGTGCTTTAGCCACCCGGCGCTCCGCTCGGCCTCTCGTCCAGCAGCTCCAGAGCAGCCCTCCCTCCCACCCACCCACCCCCCTTTCTGACTCCTCCCCCCCCCTTAACCTCAGCCCTCCCACCCACCCACCCCCCTTTCTGACTCCTCCTCCCCCCCTTAACCTCAGCCCTCCCACCCACCCACCCACCCCCCTTTCTGATTCCTCCCCCCCCTTAACCTCAGCCCTCCCTCCCACCCACCCCCCTTTCTGACTCCTCCACCCCCTTCACCTATATATAAACCCGATCGTCTCAGAGCTGCGTACTCTACACAGATATTTTGCTGTGACTGTTCCACCTGAAGACGGGAGCTTGTGTTGCCTCCGAAACGTCGTGATTTTCTTTTTATCTTGCTTCATTTTATCTACGTGACTTGACCGAATAAAAACCAAGAGCACGTTTAAGAAAGGTTCACCCGTGAGGCCGGAACGTTTCTGACGGTGCCACGTTTTTTTTCTTTGAGCCTTTTTTGGGCAACCCCCAGGCACCCGTTTGGCGTTTGAACATGTGAACATCTTAACGCAACTGCTGCTGTATCGCCAGAAAGGGTAAAACCCATTCCGATTTTTCAAAAAAAGATCTCCCATGATGTAGCTGCTGCTCCCCTTGAGCTATAGATGGGCCAAGCGGGAGCTACAAAATGTTGTTGTCAGCATCAAAGTGCGAGGACAAAAACTAAAATTCTCTATTCCTTTGCAAAACAATAAAAAGGTATCGATTTGGTGTCTGTACACGCGAACACAACTCCCACAAACCTCTGCCGTGGATCACGTTGTCTCGCCAGTGCCCCCACAGAGCGTGTTGAACTGAGCGTGTTCGCCTTTGCATGTCTACCACGCGGACTGCGCATGGCCAATGCAGACTTCGATTCCTTGCTAAAAAGGTTTCTATGTTGTTGTTTGAACAACTTCAACACCTCCTGTTAAATTGAGCAACTTTTTGGAAAGATGTCATCAACCAAGTCGAACTTTAGCTGGCTTATAATTATACAGCCGTTTCATTTTCTACCAGGATTGTACTCGCTCTCGTGCAGCACGCCATCCACCCTCCCCCCTGCAGCATAACAAAAGGTGGTTTTACGTGCAAGTTCACCACCGCCTCCCCCAGAACCCCCTGCAGAAGAACAAAAGGCGGCTTAACTTAGCCCTCCCCTCCCCACCCACGTCCCTCCCTGCCCCCCCCCCTTAACCTGTATATAATCCCGTGTGTCCCAGAGCTGTTCACATGACACAGCTAATTGTGCTGTGATTGTTCCACCTGAAGACCTCCTGTTATGTCGCCAGAAAGGGCTAAAACGCGTTCGCATTTTTCGCACTCTGATTCTGGCTAAAATGAATTCCACGCCGATGTAGCTGCTGCTCACGCCCAGCCGCAAGTGCTCTGACACGTGTGGCATTGTCCTTGTGCTGTCTCTGGTCAAGGCCAATCAGTTTCCAAGACGATGCCCATATATTATCAGGGCATGTTTGGTTTGCGCGTTGGTTCATGCAGTCTTGGTTCCTTGCTAAAATGTTTCTATTTGGTGTCTGAGCATCTTTAACGACTCCTGTTTTAATTTCCAGAAAGGGGTCAAACTTACTCTTATTTTTCATGCCTTGGCACTCGCAAAAAAGGTCCCGTGGGAGTAAAATGTCCATCTAATCTACATTACTTGAGAATCAATTAACTTATACTCCTTTGGTTTTTTTCGGTAAAGTCACGTAGGTAAAATAAATGAAAACAACTAGATTAAATCACGACGTTTCGGAGGCAACACAAGCTTCCGTCTTCAGGTGGAACAGTCACAGCAGAATAGCTGTGTCAAGTGAAGAGCTCTGAGACACCCGAGATTATATACAGGTTAAGGGGGGGGGGGAGGGGAGGAGCCAGGAAGGGACGTGGGTGGGGGGGAGGGCTAAGTTAAGCCGCCTTTTGTTATGCCGCCTTTTGTTATGCTGCAGTTATGCTGAAGCATAACAAAAGGCGGCTTTACCTTAGCATAACAAAAGGCGGCTAAACTTTGCCCTCCTTATTATTGGCTCTTTCGGTAAAGTCACCACCACGTAGAAGGGAAACAATAAAATAATAAAAATATAAAACAATAAAATTCTCACGACGTTTCGACTGCAACACAAGCAATCATCATCAGGTGTGAAAACCACAGCAAATTTTCTTGCTGTGGTTTTCACAGCAATTTTTCTTGCTGTGGTTTTCACACCTGATGATGATGATTGCTTGTGTTGCAGTCGAAACGTCGTGAGAATTTTATTGTTTCATATTTTTATTACTTCATTGTTTCCCTTCTACGTGTTGACTTTACCGAAAGAACCAAGAATATGAATCCCTGCAGTCATGAAAGCTTTAAATTAAAATGTAGCCCGCCTTGTTGGGGGGGGGGAGGGCCAAGTTAAGCTTGGTGTTGCCTCTGAAACGTCGTGATTTAATTTAGTTGGTTTCAATTATTTTATTTTACCTACGTGACTTTACCGAAAAAACCAACGAGCATGAATCCTTGCGGTCACGAAAGCTTCAAATCTAGAATCAATGAACTTGCAGGAGTTTAAACTTCAAGGGGAGATGCCTGGGTTGACCGAAACTTGATTCTTCTCAGCAATAAGCATCATGTGACGACCGGACGATTTTAAAATTACGCGCTCCTCGATTCGTCCCTTCGCAGCCTCGTCTTGCCGTGCGAACTAAAATAGAGCGGCCGCCTCGAAGCACCAGAGAGCCTCCCGGCACGAGACGGTGAGAAATTAGAGGGAGTTCAGATTCACCACTGCTCTCGGCCAGGACAAGGCTTCCAACAAGTTGAACCGTTGAAACGAATTTGTGTTTTGTATTTTACCAGGTGCAAGGCCCCCACTGAGCTGTGTTGCCCTTGTTCAGAAGTGACCCGTCCACGATTGATAGCTCAACGAAGTTGCTTATCATTATCATCATCATCATCACGTGGGTATTTATAGCAGTAGCCAAATTTTCTAAACGTGTGGTGACGTCGATTCTAACCGTGGAGGGAAAAACTGGAGGGCCCCGAGAATAATCCACGCTACCATGAGGATAGAGAGACGCGCAAACCCCAAATGTACAGCAGCAGCAGCAGGCGCCAGGATTGGGATGGGACCCACGCGGCCTCCTGTAGACCAGGCGAGGCAGTCAACATGTCACCACAAGGGTGCCCAAGTCCGTCAATCGAGACCAGGGGTGGGGCACGTCAGGCCCGCGGGCCGTATGAGGCCCGCAAAATCATTTGGTGTGGCCCTGCCAAGGCAACCGCAGACGAGACTCGAAATTCAACAAATCTAGGAGAGCAAACCTGCAAAAGCAGTTTGCGAGTAGCAACAGCATCGTCGATACCAGACTCGAAATTCAACAAATCTAGGAGAGCAAACCTGCAAAAGCAGTTTGCGAGTAGCAACAGCATCGTCGATACCGCCTAACATCATCACCACGCCTAGCCAAAGAGAAGCAGTTCCAGCCGTCGCATTAGGGGGCGAGTTAATTAAATGTTTGACCAAATAGAACAGGCTCATTTTTAAGCTGAATGATAAATATCCGAATGGCCCTTGGCAGAAAAAAAGGTTTCACCACCCCTGGTCTAGACGATGATTTAAAAGTGTCCACAGCTCCCAGTGGCTTCCGAATATCGGAAGAGCGTTCCAGACGGCCGCGGAGGCGGCGCATCCGCAAGCGCCGCGCGACGACGGCGCGGTGACCGCCGTCTTTGTCCCATGTCCCAGGCCGAGCGGCGGCCGCCGCGCGCCCGGAGGTCCCGACGGGCCCAGCTCACCGTCGTCGCCGCCGCCGCCGCCGCAGCCGCCGCCTTCGGCCGCCAGGGAATGCTGGGAGGAGAAGAGGCGGCCAATCAGAGGCCGGCGCAGGCGGGAGAGGCGCGAGGAGGGGCCCGGCGGCGGCGGCGGCGGGGGGGGCGGCAGGGTCACGTGACTCCGCCAGTTGGACATCCCCGGGGGCCACGCCGGCTGGCTGCGCGTCACCGACGGCGCCACCGACGCCGACGACGCCGCCGCCGCCGGGGTTCTGCGGAGGACGCGCGCCGACGAGGCCGACGACGCCGACGACGGCGAAGCCAGCGAGCCGACCTGCGGCGGTGGCGGGTGGTGACGATGGTGGTGATGGTCGTGTTGATGTTGTTGCTGCTGCTGCTGATGGTGGTGGTGGTGGTGGTGTTGATGGGGCTGATGCTGCGGATGGAGATGCTGCTGCTGATGTTGAGGATGCTGCTGCTGATGAAGATGAAGCTGCTGCTGCTGCTGCTCCACACGCTGATCACGATGCTGCTGATCGTGATGTTGATTACTGTGCTGCTCCACACGCTGATCACGATGCTGCTGATCGTGATGTTGATTACTGTGCTGCTCCACACGCTGATCACGATGCTGCTGATCGTGATGTTGATTACTGTGCTGCTCCACACGCTGATCACGATGCTGCTGATCGTGGTGTTGATTACTGTGCTGCTCCACACGCTGATCACGATGCTGCCGATCGTGGTGTTGATTACTGTGCTGCTCCACACGCTGATCACGATGCTGCCGATCGTGATGCTGACGTTGGCGATCGGTGTCCGGCTGCTGCTCCCGCGCCGGATCCACGTCGTGGTAGCGGTGTCTTTGGCTGCGGTGGTGGTGGTGGTGGTGGCCGTGCGGTCGCTGGTCAGCGTCGCCACCGCCTCGGTTGTTGTTGTCGGCGGTGGCGTCGCTCCGTGGGAGGCGCCCGGCCGCGCCCGTCAGGAGAAGCCTCTCGGACAGGGCCTCGGCCCGGCGACGTTCCAAGATGGCCGCCTCGCGGTCCTCGCGCCTCAAGAGGAGGCGGCGCTTGCGGGGTTTGGCGACCTTCGCCTGCCGGGGGAGTCATCGGCAGTGTCACCGTCATCATCGGATGTTAACTACCTCGCCTGCTGTACAGGAGTTCGTAGGTTCGATCCCGACCCTGATGCCTGCTGTGTATCTGGAGTTTGCGGTGTCTATCTCTCTCCCTGTAGAGATGTTGACTACCTCGCCTGGTCTGCAGGAGGTCGTGGGTTCGATCCCGACCCTGACGCCTGCTGCTGCTGCTGTGTATTTGGAGTTTGTGGTCTCTCTCTCTCTCTCTCTCATGGATTTTTGCTCCGGGTCCTCCGGGTTTTCCCTCCACATTTAGAATGGACATCACCACGCGTGTCGAGTATTTGGCTTTTGCTCTACATTTCCACGTGACAAGCCACTTCGTTGAGCTATCATTAGGGATGGCCAGGTCGCTTCTGAAATAGAGCTACGTAGCTCAGTGGGGCCTGACCTGGTTAATTTTCGTTTTTTTTCATTCACTCACTCAGTCATTCGATCACCATCTCAATCATCTACTCACTCGCCCACTCACTCATTCACTCACCCACTCATTCGAGCACCGCCTCAATCATCTACTCACTCGCCCACTCACTCATTCATTCACTCACCCACTCATTCGATCACCACCTCACTCATCTACTCACTCGCCCACTCATTCATTCACTCACCCACTCATTCGATCACCACCTCAATCATCTACTCACTCGCCCACTCACTCATTCACCCATCCACTCATTCGATCACCACCTCAATCATCTACTCACTCGCCCACTCACTCATTCACTCACCCACTCATTCGATCACCAACTCACTCATCTACTCACTCGCCCACTCACTAATTCATTCACCCATCCACTCATTCGATCACCAACTCACTCATCTACTCACTCGCCCACTCATTCACTCTCCCACTCACTCACTCGCCCTTGTTACATTAAAAGTAATTAATAGTTTCAGTGAGAACTCATCCCGCCTGGCGTCTTGTGGGGTTCCCCCAGGCCCTGCTGGGTGTGGACTCAGCACCACGGACAGCGCTGGCTGCCCGCTGGCGCGCACTCCTATCCGTTGTGCGGAATACAAAATACTCGCGCGCGCATGCGCGGTATGAAATACAACCCAACGTCGTCGTTACGTTGAAAGCCCGTGGGCATGAACCTGGTAAAATAATAATTTAAAATGATCATTGTGGCAGACGCAGCAGCAGCAGCAATAGCAGTTGTGTTATGGATGTATCTATGACAGGAGAGCCATGCTGAGTCGTGCGACAACTCGTTACCAGCTGCTCCTGCTGCTGCTGCTACAATGCGGTTTTTATTTGTAAGATGTTCTCAGCCGGTCAATGGCGAGTTGCGCTTATTATTATTCATAATGAGTTATGTGCATTATTATTCATAATGAGTTTTTTTATAATTATTATTCATAATGAGATGTGTTTATTATTATGATTCATGACGAGTTGTGTTTATCATTATTAGCATTACGCGTGAGTTGTGTTTATTATTATTCACGTGCCGGAGGAGGAGGAGGAAACCGGAGCGCCCGGAGGAAAAAAACCCCGACGCATTGCGCGAGGGAGCAACGCTCTATCCCCCGTACAGACAGAACGAACAGATGGAGATTAGTCCACACGTTTCTGTACCGCCTTCTCCTGGCAGAGCCGAGGTACGGCTCCTCCTCGACACCCACAGGTGGAAGGGAGTCTCACAGCCCATCTGTGTGTAATCCACCAACCCTCGCCTGGATTACAGGCCACGTGCATAGCCACCACCGCCCAGCAGCAGCAGCAGTGTCATTATCAGCAGCAGCAGTGTCATCATCAGCAGCAGCAGCAGTGTCATCATCAGTAGCAGTGTCATCATCATCAGCAGCAGTGTCATCATCATCAGCAGCAGCAGTGTCATCATCAGCAGCAGTATCATCATCAGCAGCAGTGTCATCATCATCAGCAGCAGTATCATCATCAGCAGCAGCAGTGTAATCAGCAGCAGCAAGTATTCAGCAGCAAGTGATCAGCAGCAGCAGTATCATCATCATCAACAGCAGCAGTGTAATCATCATCAGCAGCAGTGTCATCATCAGCAGCAGCAGTGTCATCATCATCATCAGCAACAGCAGTGTAATCAGCAGCAGCAGTGTAATCACCATCATCATCAGCAGTGTAATCAGCAGCAGCAGTGTAATCAGCAGCAGCAGTGTAAGCAGCAGTAGCAGCAGTGTCATCATCATCATCAGCAGCAGTGTAATCAGCAGCAGCAGTGTAATCACCATCATCAGCAGCAGTGTAATCATCATCAACAGCAGTGTAATCAGCAGCAGTGTAATCAGCAGCAGTGTCATCATCATCATCAGCAGCAGCAGTATCATCATCAACAGCAGCAGTGTAATCATCATCAACAGCAGCAGTGTCATCATCATCAGCAGCAGTGTCATCATCAGCAGCAGCAGTGTAATCAGCAGCAGCAGCAGTGTAAGCAGCAGTAGCAGCAGCGTCATCATCAGCAGCAGCAGTGTCATTATCATCAGCAGCAGCAGTGTCATTATCATCATCAGCAGCAGTGTAATCACCATCATCAGCAGAAGTGTCATCATCATCAGCAGTGTAATCAGCAGCAGCAGTGTAATCAGCAGCAGTATCATTATCAGCAGCAGTGTCATCATCAGCAGCAGGGTCATCATCATCAGCAGCAGTATCATCAGCAGCAGCAGTGTCATCATCAGCAGCAGTGTCATCATCATCATCAGCAGCAGTATGATCATCAGCAGCAGCAGTGTCATCATCAGCAGCAGTGTCATCATCAGCAGCAGTGTCATCATCATCAACAGCAGCAGTGTCATTATCATCATCAGCAGCAGTGTCATCATCATCAGCAGGAGTGTCATCATCATCATCATCAGCAGCAGTGTAATCAGCAGCAGCAAGGAATCAGCAGTAGCAGTATCATCATCATCAACAGCAGCAGTGTAATCATCAGCAGCAGTGTCATCAGCAGCAGTGTCATCATCATCATCAGCAGCAGTGTAATCAGCAGCAGCAGTGTAATCATCATCATCATCAGCAGCAGCAGCAGTGTAATCACCATCATCAGCAGTGTAATCAGCAGCAGCAGTGTCATCATCATCAGCAGCAGCAGTATCATCATCAACAGCAGCAGTGTAATCATCATCAACAGCAGTGTCATCATCAGCAGCAGTCATCATCAGCAGCAGCAGTGTAATCAGCAGTAGCAGCAGCGTCATTATCATCATCAGCAGCAGTGGCATTATCATCATCAGCAGCAGTGTAATCACCATCATCACCAGAAGTGTCATCATCATCAGCAGCAGTGTAATCAGCAGCAGCAGTGTAATCAGCAGCAGTATCATTATCAGCAGCAGTGTCATCATCAGCAGCAGTGTCATCATCATCAGCAGCAGCAGTATCATCAGCAGCAGCAGCAGTGTCATCATCAGCAGCAGTATCATCAGCAGCAGCAGTGTCATCATCAGCAGCAGTGTCATCATCATCAGCAGCAGCAGTATGATCATCAGCAGCAGCAGCAGTGTCATCATCAGCAGCAGTGTCATCATCAGCAGCAGTGTCATCATCATCAGCAGCAGCAGTGTCATCATCAACAGCAGCAGTGTCATTATCATCATCAGCAGCAGTGTCATCATCATCAGCAGGAGTGTCATCATCATCATCAGCAGTGTAATCAGCAGCAGCAAGGAATCAGCAGTAGCAGTATCATCATCAACAGCAGCAGTGTAATCATCATCAGCAGCAGTGTCATCAGCAGCAGTGTCATCATCATCATCAGCAGCAGTGTAATCAGCAGCAGCAGTGTAATCATCATCATCATCAGCAGCAGCGTAATCACCATCATCAGCAGTGTAATCAGCAGCAGCAGTGTCATCATCATCAGCAGCAGCAGCAGTATCATCATCAACAGCAGCAGTGTAATCATCATCAACAGCAGTGTCATCATCATCAGCAGCAGTCATCATCAGCAGCAGCAGTGTAATCAGCAGCAGCAGTGTAAGCAGCAGTAGCAGCAGCGTCATCATCATCAGCAGCAGCAGCAGTGTCATTATCATCAGCAGCAGCAGTGTAATCACCATCATCAGCAGTGTAATCAGCAGCAGTGTCATCATCAGCAGCAGTGTCATCATCATCAGCAGCAGTGTAATCATCATCATCATCATCAGCAGCAGCGTAATCATCAGCAGCAGCAGTGTAATCACCACCATCAGCAGCAGTGTAATCATCATCATCAGCAGCAGTGTAATCATCATCATCAGCAGCAGCAGTGTAATCATCATCAGTAGCAGCAGTGTAATCACCACCATCAGCAGCAGTGTAATCATCATCATCAGCAGCAGTGTAATCACCACCATCAGCAGCAGTGTAATCATCATCATCAGCAGCAGTGTCATCATCATCAGCAGCAGTGTAATTATCATCATCAGCAGCAGTGTAATCATCATCAGCAGTGTCATCATCAGCAGCAGTGTAATCAGCAGCAGCAGTGTCATCATCATCAGCAGCAGCAGCAGTGTCATCATCATCATCAGCAGCAGCAGCAGCAGTGTAATTATCATCATCAGCAGCAGTGTCATCATCAGCAGCAGCAGTGTAATCACCACCATCAGCAGCAGTGTAATCACCACCATCAGCAGCAGTGTAATCATCATCAGCAGCAGCAGTGTAATCATCATCATCATCAGCAGCAAGGAGCAGGAGGAGTGCGACTGACCGTAGCTCCAGGCGGAGTCTTCCCTGTGAACAGAGACCAACACCACCAACATCACCGGTCAGGATGTGGGTAATGACAGCTGACGTGATGATGAAGGTGAGGAGGCTGATGGCGATGTTGTTGACGGTGGTGATGTTAATAGTGGCGATGGTGGTGATGATGCTGTTTGGTGGTGGTGGTGGTGGTAATGTTGATGTTAGTGATGTTAATGGTGATGATAGTGGTGGTGGTGATGGAGGTGATGGTTGTGATGGTGGTGGTGGTGGTGGTGATGGCAGTGCTGGGGGTGATGGTGCTTGCCTGTGGCGGGTGATGGGGGTGATGGGAGTGATGGGGGTGATGGGAGTGATGGAGGTGATGGGGTGATGGGGTCATGGGGTGATGGGGGTGATGGGAGTGATGGGAGTGATGGGGGTGATGGGAGTGATGGGGGTGATGGGGGTGATGGGGGTGATGGGGGTGATGGTGCTTGCCTGTGGTGGGTGATGGGGCCTCGCTCCCCACACACAGAAGGATGTTTTCGGGTTTGATGTCTGTGTGGATGACATCACAGCGGCTGTGGAGGTAGTCCAGCCCCTCCAGAACCTAACATCACCACCATAAACACCATCACCACCATCATCAACAAACATCACTACCATCAATATCTGCAACAAACATCACCATCACCACCATCATCAACAAACATCACCATCACCACCATCATCAACAAACATCACCACCATCATCAACAAACATCACCATCACCACCATCATCAACAAACATCACCACCATCATCAACAAACATCACCATCACCACCATCATCAACAAACATCAACATCACCACCATCATCAACAAACATCAACATCACCACCATCATCAACAAACATCACATTCACTACCATCACCAACAAACATCACCATCACCACCATCATCAACAAACATCACCATCACCACCATCATCAACAAACATCATCATCACCAAAATCACCATCACTAATAACTACAAATACAAAGATCCCCCGTGTAGTCTTAACAGACTGTAGGGGCAAGTGCTGTTGGCGAGCACCTATGAAGGCCGGAACGGTACACGAGGGGGTGAGTGGCCAGCACCACGCCCGGCCGCCTTTGTCTCCCCAGTGGCGATGTTTGCACACCGCACCAGGCACTCATTTCAGGCTGAGTCGACCCAGGGGAGGCCCAGGACCGGTTCAGATAATCGTCACTGGGTGTTGGCCGTGAGCGGGAATCGAACCCAGGTCTCCAGGTTCATAGCGCAGCGTAGCGCTAACTGCTGGGCCATCGCTCCCCACACCATCACCAACAAACACCATCACCAACAAACACCATCACCAACAAACACCATCACCAACAAACACCACCATCAACAAACATCACCATCAACAAACACCACCATCAACAAACATCAACAAACATCACCATCATCACCAACAAACATCACCATCAACAAACATCACCAACAAACACCACCATCATCACCATCACCAACAAACATCACCAACAACACTTGCCCCAAAAGTCTCTTGAGGCTATACAGGCGGTCTTTGTTCTTGTCTTTATTGGTGATGGTGGTGATGGCGGTGATGGTGGTGATGGCGGTGATGATGATTGTAGTGATGGCGAAGGTGGTAATGATGGTGGTGATGATGATGATGATAGCGGTGTAAATGGTGGTAATGGTGGTGTTTATGGTAGTGATGGTGATGATGGCATGTACCTGGGTGGTGATGGCGGTGATGGCGATGGCGGTGATGGTGACGATGGTGACGATGGCACGTACCTGTGTGGTGATGGCGGTGATGGTGACGATGGCACGTACCTGCGTGGTGATGGCGGTGATGGTGACGATGGCGGTGATGGTGACGATGGCGGTGATGGTGACGATGGCACGTACCTGCGTGGTGATGGTGATGGCGGTGATGGTGACGATGGCACGTACCTGCGTGGTGATGGCGGTGATGGTGACGATGGCGGTGATGGTGAGGATGGCACGTACCTGCGTGGTGATGGCGCGCACGCAGGCGAGTGGCAGGCCGTGGTAGTGCGAGCGAGCGATCCAGCGCAGGAGGTGGGCGCCCAGAAGCTCCATCACCACGCACACGTCTAGCGTGGCTCGCGGGTCAAGGTCACAGCGACGTCCCCGTGTCTGTCCCCGTGTCTCCCCGTGTCTGTCCCCGTGTCTCCCCCCGCATCTCCCCCACCACCCGTGTCTCCCCCACCCCCGTGTCTCCCCCTGTGTCTCCCCATCCCTTGTGTCCCCCCCACCCCCCGTGTCTCCCCCCGTGTCTCCCTATCCCCTGTATCTCCCCCACCCCCCGTGTCTCCCCCTGTGTCTCCCAGTCTACCCGTGTCTCTCTGTCTGCCCGCATCTCCCCATGTGTCTCATTGTCTCCGCCACGTGTCCCTGTGTCTCCGTGTCTCTGCGTATCTCCATCACCACGCACACGGCGACTCCCCGCATATCTGTGTGTGTCTCACTGTCTCCTCCGTGTCTCACCTTGTGTGAGCCAGTGTCTCCATGTCCCCACGTGACCACTTGGAATCATGCCCCTATGACCCAATGTATCCACGTCTCCCCGTGACGCCGTGTACTCCTGACCCCGGTCCCCATGTCTCCCTGTGACCCCGTGTCTCCCCGGTCCCCATGTCTCCCTGTGACCCCGTGTCTCCCCGGTCCCCATGTCTCCCCGTGACGCCGTGTCCCCATGAGTCCCGTGTCTCCCCGTGACGCCGTGTCTCCCCGTGACCCCGTGTCTCCCTGTGACCCCGTGTCTCCCCGTGTCCCCGTGTCTCCCTGTGACCCCGTGTCTCCCCGTGACCCCGTGTCTCCCCGTGACGCCGTGTCCCCATGAGCCCCGTGTCTCCCTGTGACCCCGTGTCTCCCCGTGTCCCCGTGTCTCCCCGTGACCCCGTGTCTCCGTGACCGTGTCTCCCCGTGACCCCGTGTCTCCCCATGACCCCGTGTCTCCCCGTGACCCCGTGTCTCCCCGTGACCCCGTGTCTCCCCATGACGCCGTGTCCCCATGAGCCCCGTGTCTCCCCGTGACCCCGTGTCTCCCCGTGACCTCGTGTCTCCCCGTGACGCCGTGTCCCCATGACCCCGTGTCCCCATGTCTCTCTGTGACCCCGTGACCCCGTGTCCCCGTGTCTCTCTGTGACCCCGTGTCCCCGTGACCCCGTGACCCCATGTCTCCCTGTGATCATGTGTCCCCATGTCCCCACGTCTCCCGGTGACCCCCCCGTGACCCCGAGGATACGCGTGCCATTGACCCCAGTGACCCCGTGTCCCCGTGACCCCTTGTCCCTGTGTCCCCACGTATCCCGGTGACCCCCCGTGACCCCGAGGATACGCGTGCCGTTGACCCCGGTGACCCCGTGTCCCCGTGACCCCGTGTCCCTGTGTCCCCATGTCTCCCGGTGACCCCCCGTGACCCCGAGGATACGCGTGCTGTTGACCCCAGTGACCCCGTGTCCCCGTGACCCCGTGTCCCCGTGTCTCCCGGTGACCCCCCGTGACCCCGAGGATACGCGTGCCGTTGACCCCGGTGACCCGGAACTCGTCCCGGAGCGCGACCACGCGGCTCCTCCTGGCGTCCGAGGGGTCAGCGTCACGCACCTGGGTCACGCAGCCACACCGGCCAATCACTAACGAGTTCACGACCACCTAGATAGCCAATCACATCACTACCACCCAGACAGCCAATCAGTTTACTACCACCCAGACAGCCAATCAAATCACTACCACCCAGACAGCCAATCAAATCACTACCACCCAGACAGCCAATCAAATCACCACCACCCAGACAGCCAATCAGTTCACCACCACCCAAACAGCCAATCAAATCACTACCACCCAGACAGCCAATCAAATCACTACCACCCAGACAGCCAATCAGTTCACTACCACACAGACAGCCAATAAGTTCACTACCACACAGAGAGCCAATCAAATCACTACCACCCAGACAGCCAATCAGTTCACTACCACCCAGACAGCCAATCAAATCACTACCACCCAGACAGCCAATCAGTTCACTACCACCCAGACAGCCAATCAAATCACCACCACCCAGACAGCCAATCAGTTCACTACCACCCAGACAGCCAATCAGTTCACTACCACACAGAGAGCCAATCAAATCACTACCACCCAGACAGCCAATCAGTTCACAACCACCCAGACAGCCATTCAAATCACTACCACCCAGACAGCCAATCAGTTCACTACCACCCAGACAGCCAATCAGTTCACTACCACACAGACAGCCAATCAAATCACTACCACCCAGACAGCCAATCAAATCATTACCACCCAGACAGCCAATCAAATCACTACCACCCAGACAGCCAATCAAATCACTACCACCCAGACAGCCAATCAGTTCACTACCACACAGACAGCCAATCAGTTCACTACCACACAGAGAGCCAATCAAATCACTACCACCCAGATAGCCAATCAGTTCACTACCACCCAGACAGCCAATCAGTTCACTACCACCCAGACAGCCAATCAGTTCACTACCACCCAGACAGCCAATCAAATCACTACCACCCAGACAGCCAATCAAATCACTACCACCCAGAGAGCCAATCAATTCACTGACCACCCAGACAGCCCGCCAATCAATTCACTACCACACAGACAGCCAATCAAATCACTACCACCCAGATAGCTGATCAATTCACTCACCACCCAGACAGCCAATCAAATCACTACCACTCAGATAGCCAATCAAATCAGTGAGTGGTAGTGAGTGGTAAGGGTATGGTCGTGGGTGAGTGGTAAGTGAACGGTGAGTGAGTGAGTGGTGAGTGAGTGAGTAGTAGTGAGTGAGTGGTGAGTGAATGGTAGTGAGTGAGTGGTGAGTAAGTGGTAGTGAGTGAGTGGTGAGTTGTGAATGGTAATGAGTGAGTGGTAGTGAGTGGTGAGTGAGTGAGTGAGTGGTGAGTGAGTGGTGAGTGAGTGGTAGTGAGTGGTAGTGAGTAAGTAGTAGTGAGTTAGTGGTAGTGTGTGGTGAGTGGTAGTGAGTGGTGAGTGAGTGAGTGGTGAATGAGTGAGCAGTGAGTGAGTGAGTGGTGAGTGAGTGAGTGAATGGTGAGTGAGTGAGTGAGTGAACGGTGAGTGAGTGGTGAGTGAGTGAGTGGTGGATGAGTGAGTGGTGAGTGAGTGAGTGAATGGTGAGTGAGTGAGTGAACGGTGAGTGAGTGGTGAGTGAGTGAGTGAATGGTGAGTGAGTGAACGGTGAGTGAGTGGTGAGTGAGTGAGTGGTGGATGAGTGAGTGGTGAGTGAGTGAGTGGTGGGTGAGTGGTGATGAGTGATGAGTGAGCGAGTGGTGAGTGAGTGGTGAGTGAGTGGTGAGTGGTGAGTGAGTGGTGAGTGAGTGGTGAGTGAATGGTGAGTGAGTGGTGAGTGGTGAGTGAGTGGTGAGTGAGTGAGTGGTGAGTGGTGAGTGAGTGGTGAGTGAGTGAGTGAGTGGTGAGTGAGTGAGTGAGTGGTGAGTGAGTGGTGAGTGAGTGGTGAGTGGTGAGTGAGTGGTGAGTGAGTGGTGAGTGAGTGAGTGGTGAGTGAGTGAGTGGTGAGTGAGTGGTGAGTGGTGAGTGAGTGGTGAGTGAGTGAGTGAGTGGTGAGTGAGTGAGTGAGTGGTGAGTGAGTGGTGAGTGAGTGGTGAGTGAGTGAGTGGTGAGTGAGTGGTGAGTGAGTGAGTGGTGAGTGAGTGGTGAGTGAGTGAGTGAGTGGTGAGTGGTGAGTGAGTGAGTGAATGGTCAGTGAGTGAGTGAGTGGTGAGTGAGTGGTGAGTGAGTGGTGAGTGAGTGGTGAGTGAGTGAGTGGTAAGTGAGTGAGTGGTGAGTGGTGAGTGAGTGGTGAGTGGTGAGTGAGTGGTGAGTCAGTGAGTGAGTGGTGAGTGAGTGAGTGGTGAGTGGTAAGTGAGTGAGTGGTGAGTGAGTAGTGAGTTCTGCTCACACAGCGTAGGAGGCGGATCTCGTCTAGCGCTGTCTCTGTGTAGTGTTGAGCGCTCTTCACAACCTTCATAGCCACCATCTCACTCGCCCTGCTCAACATCACCAACATCAACATCATCAACATCATCACCAACATCAACATCATCAACATCATCACCAACATCATCATCAACATCAACATCATCAACATCATCAACATCACCAACATCATCATCAACAACATCATCAACATCATCATCAACATTATGAGACCTCCTTTGCCAGTAACAAGATATAGTAGTAGGTTTTACCCTTTTAACTGGCACAAAAAACTGACGCCTTTATTCAAGGCATCATGTCTGCAAGTAAATTCAAGGACAGTGCCAATATTATTATCAGAGTTGTCTTTTTGTTTGCATTTTGACTGCTTGTGTTGCGGTTATTGCAAACATAATGCCTTGAATAAAGGTGTCAGTTTTTTGTGCCAGTTAAAAGGGTAAAACCTATTACTATATCATAAACATCATCAACATCACGAACATCATCATCAACATCATCATCATCATCAGCAACATCATCACATCACCAACATCATCATCAACATCATCATCATCAACATCATCAACATCACCAACATCATCATCAACATCATCAACATTACCAACATCATCATCAACATCATCACCATCAACATCATCATCACCAACATCATCATCAACATCATCAACATCACCAACATCACCAACATCATCATCAACATCACCAACATCATCATCACCATCAACATCATCAACATCACCAACATCATCATCAATATCACCAACATCAAGATCACCAACATCGTCATCATCAACATCATCAACATCACCAACATCGTCATCATCAACATCATCAACATCACCAACATCATCAACATCATCAACATCACCAACATCATCATCAACATCACCAACATCATCATCAACATCATCAACATCATCATCATCACCAACATCACCAACATCATCATCACCAACATCATCAACATCATTAACATCAACATCACCACCATCAACATCTCACTTAACCTGACCACCACCAAAATGGTGAGTGAGTGGGTAGTGAGTGTTGGGTGAGTGAGTATATGATGAGTGAGTGAGTGACTGAATGTGTGTGGGTGAATGTGGGTGAGTGTGTGTGTGTGTGGGTGAATGTGTGTGAGTGTGTGTCGGTGAATGTGTGTTTGTGGGTGAATGTGTGTGGGTGAATGTTAGGTGGGTGAGTGAGTGTGTGTGGGTGAGTGTGTGGGTGAATCTGTGTGGGTGAATGTGTGTGGGTGAATGTGTGTGGGTGAATGTGGGTGAGTGAGTGTGTGTGGGTGAATGTGTGTGGGTGAATGTGGGTGCGTGAGTGTGTGTGGGTGAATGTCGGTGCGTGTGTGTGGGTGAATGTGTGTGGGCGAATGTGGGTGAGTGAGTGTGTGTGAGTGAGTGTGTGTGGGTGAATGTGTGTGGGTGAATGTCGGTGCGTGTGTGTGGGTGAATGTGGGTGAGTGAGTGTGTGTGGGTGAATGACCCCCTACCTCTTCGCACCTCCCCTCATGGCGTCTGTGACCACCACAGGGGCTAAACGGGGGCTCTGGACGGGTTCGAGGGGCTGGTAACCCCTCCACCTTCAATAAATTACCACTAAACCACGAATAAAATATCTAACTAATAAGCTTGTGCCGGAGGCCCCGGGGGGACAGGCGTCTATGACGTCTCCTGGCCAAACCCCAATTGGCAGAGCCAAGAGATTGAATCTCTACCCCTGGGGCTCCTCCAGAAACAACGAAAAGCCACTTCGTGTGGCCACGTGGAATGTTCGAACGCTCACTGCGGAGGAGAGGCTGCCACTCCTCTGTCGGGAGCTGGACCGGTATCGCCTGGATCTCTGTGGCATTCAGGAGGTCCGGTGGACCGGTTCTGGCTCCTGCCACCATGAGGGGTGGGCAGTCCTCTACTCGGGGCAGCAGACTGCCAAACAACAGGGTGTGGCTCTTCTTTTGAACAAAAGAATGAAGGGGGCGTGGGAGCGTGACGGTGAGGTGTGGGAAGCTGTGAGCCCCAGGATACTTTGGACTCGCCTTCCCATCAACCGGAGGCGAGGAGTGGTGGTCGTGGTTACTTATTCCCCCACCGAAGACGAAAATCCGTGGAGGGATGCAGGCAAAGCCGATGAGTCAGATGCCTTCTATGACCTCCTGTCACAGGTGCTGGCTAAAGTGGCCCCTCGGGATAGAGTCATCTTGTTGGGTGACTTCAATGCCCGAGTTGGTCATGATGCTGGCACCTGATCTGGAGTGATTGGAGGGCATGGGCCAGATCAACTCAATAACAACGGTAGAAGGCTGCTACATGTTTGTGCAGCCCATGGGCTTGTAATTACCAACACGCTGTTCCGGCATCGGCGCATCCACACAACATCATGGATGCATGCCGGGTCCAAGCAAGAACATCTGCTGGACTACATAGTGACGGACCAGCGAATGCGAGCCCATGTCCTTGACACCAGGACCTACCGTGGAGCTGATCTGCCCTCTGACCATCGACTTGTCATCTGTAAGATGCGCCTGCCATTCTTCCACTCCGGTGGTGGGTGTACACCCAGGACCCCATTCCAACCTAAAAAGTGGCCTGGTCTCAGTTATCTGATGAAAGTTGCAAGCGAGAATTTCATCATCACTTGTGGCTGGGGTTGGCATCGTCCCCCACTCCTCCTGATGTCGAGGGTAAATGGGCGAGGTTTAGGACTGTGACTCATGCAGCTGCACTGGCTGCTTTGGGTACGTGGTCCAGACCTCCCCAGAGACCCTGGCTGACAGAGGTGTTCAGGATAGTTGAGAAAAAGCCACAGGCCCACTGTCATCAGCTACAGAATCCCACGTCAGTGAATGAGGAGGCTTACCGCAGCCTTCGCACGGAGGTTCAGAGAGCCGTGAGGCGCTGCAAGTATGAGTGGTGGTCGCGGGTTGCTGAGGAGATGGAGTCCCCCTCAGTGGCACGCGATCACAAATCTCTATTTAACTCCATCAAAAAAGTAACCTGCAGCGCCACACCTATTACCATCATTAGGGGAAAAAACGGTGATCCAATCTCCGACCCCCAGGAACAGGTTTGCAGATTTGCTGAGCATTTCTGAGGTCCTGGGGGAGGGGAAATCCCTCAGCCAGGAAAACATTGTGGCACAAAGTGAGTATGACCCTGCTGAGGCTGCGGTGCCTCAAATATTGGAAGAAGTCACCCCCTGTGAGTGGCTGGCTGAAGGGCCATCTGTTGAGGAAGTACTGAAGGCGATCCGGAGGCCGAGACCAGGAAAGGCACCAGGCAGAGATGATCTCCCAAGCAAAATGCTGAGGGAGGGTGACGTTTGTGCACAGACTGCCCTATATGACATCATAACAACAGTCTGGACCACTGGACGGGTTCCGCAGGATTGGAAGGATGCCCTGGTGGTCCCCCTCTTTAAGAAGGGGGACCGCACAGACTGTAACAACTACAGGGGCATCTCACTCCTCAGTGTGCCGGGAAAGGTCCTGGCAAGGATTATTCAAAATCGCCTTGCCACGCACGCTGAGGAGAGGCTTGCGGAGCCCCAATGCGTTTTCAGGAAAGGGTGGTTCTGCACAGATGCCATATTTTCTGTCCGTCTGCTAGAGCAGAGGTGTAGGGAATTCCAGCAAGACCTACATCTCTGCTTTATTGACCTGGTCAAGGCCTATGATACCATCAGTAGGCCTGGGCTCTGGGTTGTTCTTTGTGCTTTTGGAGTCCCTGACCCTCTGCTCACGATCATTAAGGACCTTCATGATGGTGAGCGGGCCCGGGTAAAACTACGTGGCCGGGAGTCAGAGCCATTCCCTGTACACCTTGGGGTGCGACAGGGATGTCCTCTGGCTCCCACATTATTTAGCATCTATTTTGACCGCGTAGTTGGTGAAGCCTTCAATAGCTGTACCGGGGGAATCTCCATTTGGTACAGATATAATGGGAGGCTGATCGATGCCCGGGTGCGGTCAAGGGATGGCTCCCTATTGCTCAACCACGTTATGTATGCTGATGATTTGGTAATAGCTGCTCATTCAGAGGAGGAGTTGGAGATGCTGCTGCTGAGACTGGAGCGTGCCACTAAGAGATGGGGCCTTACCATCAGCCCCACCAAAACTAAGCACCTGCCTGGGTATTTTGTACCATCGGACACTCCACCGCCACAACTCCCAATCGGTGATGGGGCAGTTGTGGAGACAGTGGAGAGTTTCCCATACCTGGGCAGTGTGCTTATGACCGGCTTCAGTTCAACAGCCGAGGTCTCAATCCGAATCAGTCGAGCGGCAATATCTTTTCATCGGTTGCGTAACGCTGTGTGGAAGCTACCTGGTCTGTCGCTCCGCACTAAGCTTCAGGTCTTCTCAGCCACAGTCATTCCCTCCCTTCTCTACGCTTGCAAAACGTGGACTCCCCTAATGGAACATCTTCGCCGGTTAGAAACATTTAGGCTGGCCTGCCTATGATCCAGCCTGGGTTTAACCAGGCTGGATTGTGTGAGGAGCTCACAAATCCTCGAAAGATCTGGACAAAGTCCCATTGGTGAGCTCTTCCGGCAGGCAAGGCTGCGTTGGCTGGGTCATGTAGCCCGCATGCCCAGCCACCGCATGCCTAAACAGCTTTAGTTCGGCCGGATCGAGGGTGCTAAACGGGCGCGGCACGGGCTAGAGAAGAGATGGAGTGATGTGGTACAGGAGGACGTGGAGCTGAGCGGACTTGCCCATGACCGGTACCAGCGGTGTCAAGATCGGCCTCTGTGGAGGAGGCTCGTGAAGGACGCTACTGGGCAGTTGGAGGCAATCGCCCTCCAACAACAACAGAGGGCGGAGCAGCGACGCTCACAACAACGAGCGGAGCGCCGGGTGGCTAAAGCACAGCAGGTTGGCACAGTAGGGGGCACAGGTGGTGCATCAGCCACTCATCTCAGTCAGTCGACCCGTGGCACCTTGGTCTGCCCCGTGACCTCCTGCCAGCGGGGGTTCGACACTTCACGTGGCCTCAGGGTGCACATAGCCTGGCACAAGCGTCGTGGTGACGTCACTGCCACTTAGTGTTGTTGTTGTTGTTGTGGTGCTTACGCGAGGTCCCAGCAGAGCCACACCGTGGAGAAGTGTCCCCAGCCCAGTTTGTGCACCACGCGGTAGCGCTCGCTGTACACCTCGCCCACACACACCGGGTGGTAGCCGCCTGGGGGGGGGGGCACGGGGGGGGCCCGGGAGGGGGGCAAGGGGGGGGAGGGAGACAAAGTTAGTGATGACACTGGTCACGTGCCTGATGATGATGCTGCTGTTAATGCTGTTTCTGTAGCTAATGATGATGCTGATGCTGCTGCTGATGATGATGATTCTGCTGATGATGGTGATGATTCTGCTGATGATGATGCTGCTAATGATACTGCTGCTGGTGATGATGATGATTCTGCTGATGGTGATGATTCTGGTGATGATTCTGCTGATGATGCGGCTTCTGCTGCTTTTGCTAATGTCCCTGCTGTTGACGATGTTGCTACTGCTGCTGATGATGATGATTCTGCTGCTGCTGGTGATGATTCTGCTGTTGATGATGGTGATGATGATTCTGCTGCTACTGCTGCTGATGATGCTCGCACCCTTGCAGTAGTCCGCTGGGTCCTCCTGATCCTCCTCGTCTGAGCAGATGACCTCCGGAGCCAGCGGGCACGGGTCACAGGGGTCAGGGGCCAAAGGTGGCGAGGCCACATGGCTCTCTGACCTGCGCGCACACAGAGACACGCACGGCACCACGGTCTATCTACTGCTGGACGGATATCAATGTGACATCTCTACCCTGCGCGTGTGTCTCTGATCCACGTGTTTCTCTCTCTGTGTCTCAGTGTAATCACCATCATGGTCCGTGTAGTGCACCCATAGAGACTGATCCACAGAGATACACAGAGACGCACAGATACCCATGGAGGCTCATATACACAGAGACACATGGAGATATATGAAAAGCAAGTGGCAGCAGTCAGATTAACCCAAACTATGGACTACATTGTACACACGTAAAGATACATAGAGACCCATACAGACTCACTGAGATACACAGAGACTCGTGGAGATATATACTCACGGAGATACACAGAGATGCATAGAGACATATAGAAACTCACAGAGATACACAGACTCATAGAGATACATGGAGACTCAGAGTTACATAGAGACTCATATAGATACATAGAGATACACAGAGACTCATAGATAAACAGAGACTCATATAGATACAAAGAAACTCGGAGAGATACACGGACTTATAGAGACACACAGAGACTCATAGAGATGCCTAGAGACTCATATAGATACATAGAGACTCATAGATAAAAACACAGACTCAGAGATACAAAGAAACTCGGAGAAATACATAGAGACGCATAGAGACTCATGGAGACACACAGACTCATAGAGATGCACAGAACCACACAGAGACTCATAGAGACACATGAGAGACTCATAGAGACACACAGAGACTCATAGACACACAGAGACTCATAGACACACAGAGACTCACAGAGACACACAGAGACTCACAGAGACACACAGAGACTCATAGAGACACACAGAGACTCATAGAGACACACAGAGACTCATAGACACACAGAGACTCATAGAGACACACAGACTCAGAGACACACAGAGACTCACAGAGACACACAGAGACTCACAGAGACACACAGAGACTCATAGAGACACACAGAGACTCACAGAGACTCATAGAGACACACAGAGACTCACAGGGACACAGAGGCTCATAGAGACACACAGAAACTCATAGAGACACACAGAGACTCATAGAGACACACAGAGACTCATAGAGACACACAGACTCACAGAGACACAGAGACTCATAGAGACACACAGAAACTCATAGAGACACACAGAGACTCAGACACACAGAGACTCACAGAGACTCATAGCGACACACAGAGACTCACAGAGACACACAGAGACTCATAGAGACACACAGAGACTCATAGACACACATGAGAGACTCATAGAGACACACAGAGACTCATTCAGACACACAGAGACTCGTAGACACACAGAGACTCATGGAGACACACAGAGACTCATAGAGACACACAGAGACTCACAGAGACACACAGAGACTCGTAGAGACACGCAGAGACTCACAGAGACACACATGAGAGACTCACATAGACAAACAGAGACTCGTAGACACACAGAGACTCATAGAGACACACAGCCTCATAGAGACACACATGAGACTCATAGACGCACATGAGAGACTCACAGAGACACAGAGACTCATAGACACACAGACACTCACAGAGACACAGAGACTCATAGAGACACACAGAGACTCGTAGAGACACACAGAGACTCACAGAGACACACATGAGAGACTTATAGAGACACACAGAGACTTATAGACACACATGAGAGACTTATAGAGACACACAGAGACTTATAGACACACAGAGACACACAGAGACACACATGAGAGACTCACATAGACAAACAGAGACTCGTAGACACACAGATTCATAGAGACACACAGCCTCATAGAGACACACAGAGACTCATAGACACACATGAGAGACTCACAGATACACAGAGACTCAGACACATAGAGACTCACAGAGACACAGAGACTCATAGAGACACACAGAGACTCGTAAAGACACACAGAGACTCACAGAGACACACATGAGAGGCTTACAGAGACACACATAGACTTATAGACACACATGAGAGACTTATAGAGACACACAGAGACTTATAGACACACATGAGAGACTTATAGAGACACACAGAGACTTATAGACACACAGAGACACACAGAGACACACATGAGAGACTCACAGAGACACACAGAGACTCATAGACACACAGAGACTCGTAGACACACAGAGACTCGTAGACACACATAGACTCATAGAGACACACAGAGACACACAGAGACTCACAGAGACACACATGAGAGACTTACAGAGACACACAGAGACTTATAGACACACAGAGAGGTTCATAGAGACACACAGAGACTCATAGAGACACACAGAGACTCATAGACACACAGAGACTCATAGACACACAGAGACTCACAGAGACACACAGAGACTCGTAGACACACAGAGACTCACAGAGACACACAGAGACTCACAGAGACACACAGAGACACACAGAGACTCGTAGACACACAGAGACTCACAGAGACACACAGAGACTCACAGAGACACACAGAGACTCATAGACACACATGAGAGACACACAGAGACACACAGAGACTCACAGAGACACACAGAGACTCACAGAGACACACATGAGAGACTTATAGAGACACAGAGACACACAGAGACACACAGAGACTTGTAGACACACAGAGACTCGTAGACACACATGAGAGACTCATAGAGACACACAGAGACTCACAGAGACACACAGAGACTCGTAGACACACAGAGACTCGTAGACACACAGAGACACACAGAGACACACAGAGATTCACAGAGACACACAGAGACTCACAGAGACTCATAGACACACAGAGACTCACAGAGACTCACAAAGACACACAGAGGCTCGTAGACACAGAGACTCGTAGACACACATGAGAGACACATAGAGACACAGAGACACACAGAGACACACAGAGATTCACAGAGACACACAGAGACTCACAGAGACTCATAGACACACAGAGACTTACAGAGACTCACAAAGACACACAGAGACTCGTAGACACACAGAGACTCGTAGAGACACATGAGAGACTCACAGAGACACACAGAGACTCGTAGAGACACACAGAGACTCGTAGACACACAGAGACTCATAGACACACAGAGAGACTCATAGAGACACACAGACACTCACAGAGGCACATAGAGACTCGTAGACACACAGAGACTCGTAGAGACACACAGAGACTCACAGAGACACACATGAGAGACTCACATAGACAAACACAGACTCATAGACACACATGAGAGACTCACAGAGACACACAGTGACTCGTAGACACAGCGACTCACAGAGACACACAGAGACTCGTAGACACACAGAGACTCGTAGAGACACACAGAGACTCACAGAGACACAGAGACGCGTAGACACACAGAGACTCGTAGACACACAGAGAGACTCATAGAGACACACAGACACTCACAGAGACACACATGAGAGACTCATAGACACACAGAGACTCGTAGACACACAGAGACTCACATGAGAGACTCACATAGACAAGCACAGACTCATAGACACACATGAGAGACTCACAGAGACACAGTGACTCATAGACACAGAGACTCACAGAGACACACAGAGACTCGTAGACACACAGAGACTCACAGAGACACACAGAGACTCGTAGACACACAGAGACTCACAGAGACACACATGAGAGACTCATAGACACACAGAGACTCATAGAGACACACAGAGACTCACAGAGACACACAGTGACTCGTAGACACAGAGACTCACAGAGACACACAGAGACTCGTAGACACACAGAGACTCGTAGACACACAGAGACTCGTAGACACACAGAGACACACAGAGACTCGTAGACACACAGAGACTCACAGAGACACACAGAGACACACAGAGACACACAGAGACTCGTAGACACACAGAGACTCACAGAGACACACAGAGACACACAGAGACTCGTAGACACACATGAGAGACACACAGAGACACACAGAGACTCGTAGACACACATGAGAGACAAGCCGCAGCAGTGCGACTGTGGCCATGCCGGCCACACTGCAGACCGCGACGTGAACCCCCTGGGGTCTGCGGAAGAGGAGGAAGAGCGACACGACACAAACACTCTCTCGTCGTGACGAGCAGCAGCAGCAGCAGACTTTGACATTGGTGTCTAGCCTATGACCATCTTGCCGTAGGCAAGAAGAGAATAGGCTAAGGCAATATGAGTCTATGGGCAATGTTAGTCTGTAAGAAATGTGAGTCTATGGCCAATGTTAGTCTATGGGCATTGTGAGTCTATGGTCAATGTTAGTCTATGGGCATTGTGAGTCTATGGGCAATGTTAGTCTATGGGTAATGTTAGTCTATGGGCAATGTGAGTCTATGGGCAATGTGAGTCTATGAGCAATGTGAGTCTATGAGCAATGTTAGTCTATGGGTAATGTGAGTATATGAGCAATGTTAGTCTATGGGTAATGTGAGTATATGGGCAATGTTAGTCTATGGGTAATGTTAGTATATGAGCAATGTGAGTCTATGGGCAATGTTAGTCTATGGGCATTGTTAGTCTATGGGCATTGTTAGTCTATGGGCAATGTTAGTCTATGGGCAATGTTAGTCTATGGGCAATGTGAGTCTATGGGTAATGTGAGTATATGAGCAATGTGAGTCTATGGGCAATGTTAGTCTATGGGCAATGTTAGTCTATGGGTAATGTGAGTATATGAGCAATGTGAGTCTATGAGCAATGTGAGTCTATGGGCAATGTTAGTCTATGGGCAATGTTAATCTATGGGCAATGTGAGTCTAAGGGCAATGTGAGTCTATGGGCGATGTGAGTCTATGAGCAATTCGTCTAAATGTAAATGTGGCTTGTGACGAATTGCTCATAGACTTACATTGACCAATGTTAGTCTATGAGCAGATGTTATGGCTTGGCTCTCCAACACACAACCGCTGTGCTGTACGAGTGAGGAATTGGCCACGCTCTGTTCACGTGACAACCCTTACTAGTGGGCTGTGTAGGGTGGTGGC